TACTTGTTTGGATTTGAGTTTGGCTGTACGACAGCTACAAGATAAAACGATAGGTAATTTTACATGTTTTATCTGCTCCTTCTCCTCCTCCTACTACTGCTGCTGCTGCTACTACTACTACTACTACTACTACTACTACTACTACTACTACTACTACTACTACTACTACTACTACTACTACTACTACTTTAACAGCAACTACTATTACAACAGCAAATACTACTAATACTACCGCTGCTGCTGCTGCTGCTACTACTACTACTACTACTACTACTACTACTACTACTACTACTACTACTGCTGCTGCATACCACCACCACTACTACTACATTTTCTTCTTTTCCACCACCTACACCTCTTCATTTTCTCATTATCCTTCTCGTCATTGTTCTTCTCCCAATTATTATTATTCTCCTCCTTCTTTTTTTTTCGTCTTCTTCTTCGGCTTCTTCTCATCGTCCTCCTTATCCTCATTCTTCTTCTTCTTCTTGTTACCCGCCTCCTGTTCCTCTTACTCTTCCTTTTTTTTTTCCTCTACTACAATTTCTGCTCCCCTCCACCTCGTTGTCGTTCACCTCACAATGATGTCTAAGTCCGAATCTCCATCCGGGTAGATTTTAACAATTAACTTGGCCTCACCCAGCCCTAAACAGGTATCAGGACATTTCTTGGAAAGTATCAATGACTAATCTAACATTGAGGCAACCACAAACCGATTCCCATTTTGGACTAGAAATTTGGGACAAGTATCATCTGGCATAATTGTTTTTACAGACTGTGTTGGAACCCACCTCGTCGTCTCTAATTTTTATAATTGAACTCTGACTGTAAACTAATGTCTGTCACAATTCGCCTACACTTAACAGCAGATTAGTTCATAACAGTTTTATGGTTCCCCAGTATAATTGCACAGTACGGTTGAGTCGGATAGCGGGGAATGTGTAGCCGTTCGATTCTCTTTCTTGAGATGGTAATTCTGCTGAATGCAAATCTGGAGAGGGGGAACTTTACAAATTTGATTTAGCATAATATGGGTACACGGAAATGTCAGGAGATGTAAAGGCGGCAAATATGATGTTTACCTTATCACCCGTCAAATACTGTTTACTCAGAATACGGGATAGGCTTCAGATGCCCACTGAGGAGCACAAGCCCGCCGCTAAAAATGTCTAAAGGGGAGTTAATGTGGATTCGTTTCAGTTTTTGGCCCTGGCAAGAAACGGACAAGACTACAAAACAAAACAAAGAAATTAAAAAATGCAGCCTGTGAAAAGTTGACAGACAGTAATAGGACGAAGAAAAAAAAAAAAAAACTCATTATGATCTCAGAGAAGTGATTGTGGATAGGTGTTCATCAAAACAAGAGTAATTAATTGTATCACAGTTTTGGGAATTAATGCCGCTCTCCGAAAAAAAGCAAGCTGGCAAGATTGTACCAGTATCAAAATTCAGGGCAATTCGTTTTGAATATTGAGCATTTAATAAATAAGATGCAGCGTCCATTAAGATCTCAGATATGTGATGCTACAAAAGAATATTTAAAACCGTTGGACAACATAAATAAATAATGTAAATGTTTCGAAAGCGGTTACGGCGATGCCGTCTTTATGTAGCCACATTATGAGCAGAAAATAAACAACTATTTTATCGGGGGGGGGGGGGGGGGGGGGGGTTTTAGAAAAAGAGGAAGGCAATGAAAGCATTTACCTCACACCCTTCGTTCTCGGCACGGTAAGGTAGCAAGCAACACATGCGATTTGAGGACGCTAGTGGCATTCCTATTTATGCCTATCGTCAAGGCACTATTAGGAGACGATGAACGCGTTATCAGGCGGTAATTTTTCGATAATATTTTATATTCATACCAGTGGATTAATTTCCTTTCTTTCTTCTCTCTCCCAGGAGTGTCTAGTTGGCTGTGCATCGAAGTTCATTTGTTTCTTCGCTAAGCACTGGCTTCATTTGGATGCAACAGGTATGATCATCGGTGTGGCTAGTCTTCCAGTTTTATAAGAATTTATTTAGGTCATCTTGATGTTTGTTTGATTAAAAATGTTGAATTTGATTTGTAAACTATTTCCTGATAGATATTGAGCTCCCATTTTACTCACCCACTCTTGAAGGACAACAGTGCAGTAATGATCGGTTGTCCCCATATGGATTCCAGGGTTTCATTGGAGGGGGTTGGGAAGGGGGGGGGGGGGGGGGGTATAGAACCAATACTCTCTAGCAAGCATGTCTTAAAAGCTAACTAATTAGTGGGAGATCAGGGATTCAAAGCCGGATTGCATAAGCCTGAGAGGTGAGGAACCATCAGTCTGCATACGAACAATGCACGCAATTCACGAGTTGTTGAACAAGGCTAAAGTTCAGAAGAACAACCAAAACTTTCTGCCATAGTTTACAGCTATTTAGCTCGAAGAAGAAGAATGTATTATGTTATAAAAATATTTATTGATAGTTGGTGGTTTCATAGATATGATATTATATAGTAGAGAATATTTCAAAGGGGCGGTGCCGTGTTAGCTCAGTCGATAGGAGACGCTTTCAAATTCAGCTGCCACTCGCTGCAGCCCACAGACGGTGTGCGAAACTGGGCGGTCCCCGGGGTTCACCCAGCCTCAAGGTAATGGGTAGCAGAGTTAACACTCTGGGGTAAACAGAGGAACGTCGCTGTAGCTACGGAGTTCCGTGCGCACGGTGACACAGGCGGACAGTTTCTCATCAGCTGTCCGTACTGATGGCAGAGCACTTTTGGTTTATAATCATGTGCAATGACTATTGTTCACATCTCCCGATTAAAACAAAAATATTTTAAAGGGAGAGAACACATGAAGGAAAATAATTGTTTGGAAGTTGCCACAAGAGGAGGGAACTGTATTAAAAGGCGTTAGAAAGGTTGAGAGCCACTGTTGTAGGGAATTCCGGGGGGGGGGGGGGGGGGGGGGGGGTTGAAAAATGCTGAAATGTACCGTAGTTTTCACTATGTAGCACCCTTTTGTGTTGTTAAGCGGATACGCCGCTGCAAGTTGCCGAAAGTCTGATAAACACGGCCTTGACCCAAACCCAGCACACAATCGAAACCGGATAAATCTTACACACCAATAAGAAGGAACAAAAAAATCGACGCATTGGTGAACGAAACAAATCAGTTAGGGCACTCATGAAATATAACAGGAAATTATGGGCGAAAATAGACAAGACAGCCGTGTGTTTTAGGAAGTGGGGTGGTCTTTTCTAGTCAGAATAAAGTGGGTTTTGTGTATTGTTTACAGATTTGTCCTTTATATAACACGCATCAGTAAAAATAGTACAGATTTCATCATCCTACTTTTCTTCTTCCTCTTCTTCTTCTCCTCCGCCTCCATAAGAGTCGACTAACTGGGAGCTTTCTTCGAGGTCGAAGGGAATCTGCCTGAGTGGCAAGCAACCACAGATCTGCATACACATGAGTCAGATATTTCAAATGGATGTTCATGCAGCACCCAGGTTCTGACAGAAGTCCAGAGGTGGACGAACAACCAGAACTTTCTGCCGACAGTTTACTACAGATGAACGCGAAGAAGAAGAACCTGTCTCTCAGGTAGATGGCACCCAGACTTTGAAGGAAGCGCCCCAAAAGTCGACTTTTACAACAGGATTGTTGGGGAGGCAGTGGGTCTGTCTGTTCTTGTTTTCCCCCACAATGATCCCACGGAACCCACACTGGGACAAAGAAGTTTTAATGAGGACAATTGTAGCCTGGCCATGCCTGCAGCAGCTACACCAGCTTGATGTAGCCTTAAGTCCTATGCAGGCCAGGACTGACAGACCTTTTTTTTTAGCGTTTCACCTTTCCAGGAGTGCTTTCTGTAGGAGTAACATCTCAATGATAAGACGTCAACAGGTGCAAATTCCGGAAACCCCGTTAAGCCGTACAACCACATATCACACAATGGAAAGAGCAGGTATTACAACAGTCTTCTCAATGCTTACTGTACATAGGCTCAGTTTAGATGGCTGGGTCACACCTGGAGAATTTCTCTTTCTTTCTTTCTTTCTTTCTTTCTTTCTTTCTTTCTTTCTTTCTTTCTTTCTTTCTTTCTTTCTTTCTTTCTTTCTTTCTTTCTTTCTTTCTTTCTTTCTTTCTTTCTTTCTTTCTTTCTTTCTTTCTTTCTTTCTTTCTTTCTTTCTTTCTTTCAGGGCATTAACATATATGTTAGTGAAATAATATACCGCATATCTAACATCCTATTTTCATCCTTTACAGACTCAAGACTTGTCAATAAAGGGAAGTAACAAATCCAAGAAGACACCAGGTGCTTTCAGATTATCATTCTTGGCGAACAAGCAGACAACAGACTTACCCGCTTTCATCTTGCAGAAAAATCAGTTTATTTGAAGTGACAACATTTTTCTATTGCGTTTTTTAACCTTTGCTGATTTCTGTTCTGTATGACGAAATAATTCCTAGATTGGACATTGCATGATCAAACGGCAGTGTATATTTGCATCCAGTGCTTGACGTCGTATTAACTTTATGAACAAGGGAGTAGAAGGTTTATCTTACAGAAAGAAACTTCCCTAGAAATAGCGTTGTTTTATCTGTAAGACACAGTTTACACGAAGGAACAAGTTTAATATCTGCAAATCTTGGTAGTAAAATGAACATTTGACCACTAGACTTGAAAACTGTTCTCAAACAGAGAAAAAAATACTTTGAAACTTTCATAGTGCAAAGTCTACTTGAGAATTCTATAGTGTTGTACATTGATTTGTTTACATAATCTGATTTCAGTTACAGTATCACAGGAGTGGTTGATCAAACGTTGGTCAGTCAGTCACAGATCTTGATATTTAACTAACATATTTAAAGTGTTTTTGAACTATTTATTATTATATGAATGTTGTGTGTGCTTTAAAAAAAATTCTTTGGTAGTGAATAGTGAATAGCATAACATTTTTTGTATTTGATACTTGTGTATGATAAATTTGTTATTTTGATATTTATTCCAAAGAAAATGACAGATTTCGTTGCTGAGGTTCGACCCCGGTCCGATTGCATTCCAAAGTTTGTCCCAACTCACCCTGGTAATGATTTTGTTGCTGAAATAAGACCAAGGAATACCAACATTCCACAGTTACGATATGCAGACAGACTTTGCCAGTCCTTAGACTATACTGACCAAGACTTAGAAAACATCCTATCCAACAGACACTTTTCCAGGGAAGGCTTTACCAGACTTCTGGAAGGATCCATTCTAAAACTTATAGAAACCCTTTTCACAGGCCGACCCATCACCCAGGTCGAGGGTCGCCTGTGTATCTCACTTGCTAGCCATGAATCCCCAATAACTGTTAATTTACAACATACATTCCAAACTCCTAATCAGGCTAATGATCATTCTTTTCCCACCCAGTGCTTAGAAAGTCGAATGAATGTTAAAGTCAAACAGGGTGACCTGTCATGTCCAGGTAATGACTTTCTTACGATACCAGAAAACGAACCTATAAATACAGAAGTTCCTCTCTTGCCACCATCTTCTTTGAATGATAAATCCTTTGCAGGGGACTCAGCCTTTGATGACTGCAGAATGTATCCACTTTATCTCATATCTGATAGTAACGACAGGTCATACTTCCCCTTAGAGTCTACCAGGGATGGAGAAAGATGCTCACCAAGTCCTTCTGTTGACCCTCCTTGTAAAGCATCTTTTATGAAGGAGATTGAAGTCACTACAGTGACGGAAAGTTCCCAGCTAGAGACACGCCTGGAAGGATGTTTACGACATGAGAGTGACGACGATGAGAGCGGATATACCAGCAATGAGAAAGAAGATTGTGATTCCAATTCTGAACATAGTGACAGTCCCAGTGATTATAAGCACTGTAGTCTGTTCAATGATTACTACTGCAGCGGATTTGATGGAAAGAGCACAGTATACAGCTCGGACGAGAGGGAGACTTTGGTGGGTAGTCCTCGTGAGTCATCCCACGACTCTCCAGGAGATGGTGGTGATGAAATGGACAATGATGATGATGATGCTGATGAGTGTATGGATTTTGAAATGCCTTTAGTTATTGATGAAAGGCCAGTTTGCAACATGAAGGACAGTTGTTCAGATCAGATGTGTAAGATCAAGGGTTCCATTTGCAAAGAGAGAGCAGAGTCATATGAGACTGATCACGGGCAGTGTTCACCCAGAGTGCTATGTGGAAGAATGAAGCAGAAGATGGGTTTCTGTCATGAAAGAATGGGAGATTACCTGACTGACGAGACAGAAGATTTTGACTCCGTAGAGAGCTCTGATATCACAGATACTGATGTTCCTGTGGATCTTTCCAGTGATTGGAGAAGGGCATTGGATGCTACAACTGCTATCCGACACCCTCAAAGCCTGGTAGGAAAACAATCTGAAGCATTCCGGAATAAACGGTTTTCACAGTCTATGACAGACACTGAAGCACTGTCGGGGCCCGCCCAGGCTGATCGTGGGGTGTATGGCTGTACGGTCTGCAGCCGGACTTTCACAGCCAAGAACAACTTGAAGCGCCATATAAGAATCCACACTGGACAAAGACCATACCAGTGCCTGCAGTGTTCACAGTCGTTTGCAAGAAGAGATGATCTCAAAGGACACATGCTCCGCCATGACTACAATAAACCTTTTCGATGCTCGTTGTGCAAGAAAGGATACACAGATCGCGCATGCGTTAAGAACCACATGGCCAAAGAGCACAGGTCACGGCTGATGCACGTCTGCCCTCAGTGTGGAGAGAGCTATGATCAAGAAGAAGCATTTACTGCTCACAAAAAGACACACCCAGAGCTCCAACAGTTCTCCTGCTCCACTTGCTCTTTCATTGGGAACAACAATTTAATGACGCTAAAACATTCCCTACTGCACAGCCACAAGCTGTTTTCCTGCAAGCCGTGCAACGCCTACTTTGCCGATCCATTTGACTACACCAACCATGTGAGAAAACACAAGAAAAGTGATTCTTTTTCCCAATATGTCTGCTGTTTTTGTGACATTGCTCTGTCGACTTATGAACAATACGTCAGACATGAATACTCACACGCCCAGGGAAAAATCCATGCCTGCAAAATCTGCAAGAAGCAATTTAAAAACAAGTTTCTACTCCAAGAACATGCTCTTACTCATGAAATGCCACAAGCTGCCAGTGCTCATTCCGAGCAGATCCCTACAAAAACAGTGGAGATTGAAAAACCCAACTCCATATTTCTTCAGCCTAAAGAGATTATTGCCCCTAACATTTCAAATTCTAGTTTGGAATCTAGATTCACAGACGATTATTCTAGTACTTACTACGACCCGCCTCCTCTTCCATCACATCTACCAAGAACTGATAAAGAAGAAAGTAACAAAAATGAGGCACTACTTTTAGACCTGAGAATCAAGAAGGCATCTAATGCAACATTCAGCGCAAATGATCTCAAGCAAAACCAGTACGCCTCCAACTCTTGCCCCAGAAAGACAGGACTTACAGAAAGGAACTTCCCCAGAAATGGCGTTGTTTCATCTGAGTCCAGCTATCTGGGTCAAGAAATGGAAGTCAGTGAAGCGTACCAAATGAGGAAGCTTGTTTGTAAAGAGAGAAGCCGCGAAAACATTTTTCCACAAGGTAATAATATTTCCAGAGAGAAGACTGATTACATCAAACACCACTCACAGGACAGACACGTACCTGAAAGTCCATTTGATGGGGCAAACAGTCATCAGATAGATTACTGGCAGCAAAGAAATATCTGCCCAACAAGACCAAAGAGTGCAGAGAAAATTCACCTTATTTCAAATGCCCAAAGTGCTAGCTTTGATCGGAGGCCTTTCCAGCGAACAGTGTCACAAGATTGCACACATAAGTCACCGTTGCGGTTTAGCCCATACACCAGAGAAAAAGTTGCGGATTTAGCTGCCAAGTTTATTGCGGCCAGGGGGACCAAGCTTTTTGAGGATCGAGCTCCACTGAAAGCAGCTCTTGCAACTTACGAGAACAGAAAGTTGATTGCTGCCTCTAGAGACATTACTGAAGCAAAACGGGAAGCTTCAACTTCCACAGACTTAAGGCATCGATCAGAGCCGAAGGAGGAGTGTGTATTCAAACAAAACTTGTTTTCCAACTCACCATCTGCCATTCGGAACTGCCTCACCACCCCAGACACTGATGACATCACGCGTGAAGATTCGAACCCTGAAATGGCTTTGATGTATCATGCACCGATTGTTGTCAAGTCAGAGGTGGTGATGCAACAGGATCCAGAATTCGAAGCAGCTGAACACGGCACTTTCCCAAACACTTTTGTTGGAAATGGAGATGCCCATACCATTGGCAGTTGTTTGATTGAAAGAAACCACTACCAGATGACTACCCATAGCTGTGAGGACTGTAAGCAGGAGTTCAGATCCTTTACTGAATTAGAACACCACAGTGTCGAGATGCATAAGCGCTATCTGTGTGAGCATTGCAGAAAAAGCTTTACTGCCAGGCCAAACAGGGACAGGCATGTCAGGTACCACACAGGAGAGAGGCCCTACAGATGTGATCTTTGCGAGCAGGCATTTTTCCGTGGGGACGACCTCAAATACCACCGCACCACCAGACACCCAACAGCTCAACCCTACACCTGCGGGCAGTGCTCAGCTAGTTTTTCTTGGGGGCGTGACCTTGACAGGCACATAAGGCATAGCAAGTGCAAGTCCTAAAGGAACTCCCAAAGAATACAATATTTGTGTTTGATCCATTACTTGTTTCTTCCATATTTTAAAACTGATACTATATTGTTTCATTGTTTCACAATTATGTGAGTGTCAAGACAGGTGAGGATACACAGAATCTTCAAAACTGTAACCAGGAACACTTGAAATAAAAATTATGAGTGTAAAACACATAAATGAATAAGTAATCTTGTCAAAACTGTAATCAGAAACACAGGAAACAAACATTTTATTGTGACTGTGTTAAGAAAAGAAACATTATTAAGCGACAGATAGCTTAAGGTTGAGGTATATCTTCAGTTGTTCATATTCAGTCAGTCTTTGTGCGCAAGTATAATATTTGGTTGTGTGTACATCCACTGAACGTGGATGAAGCTTTACGAAGGTTTTTTTTTTCCGCCATCTTTTTTTCTTCCCATCCTTGCTAGATTTCTTAGTCACAATTAAGTGGATTAAATTCTTGACACTAACTTGACTGTAGTCATCCCTGTTTTCGTCACTTTTGTCACTGACAGTGTGTTAGTTCTTCTTATCAGGAATTTACTACATGTGTCCTGGAAATTCTGGGGCTTTTTCTACATCTTCTGTGTCAAACACCATTGTCACTGTCTGACAGTAGATAATGATGGTAAGGATAGTGATGACCTTAATGATGTTGGTAATTGTATCTCGTAGCACTACTGTGAATATGTTATTAATGTTTGCCTTTGCCATTTAATAACGCCTTTTTTATTGCCATATCTGTTAATTTGAGATTTCTTTCTTTTAGTGTACGCATCTTTAAAAAGGTGTTTAGACATGTTCGTGCCTACTTTGTTTTATTACATAGAATATAATCCATTATATTAATAACAGTTATATATTTACTTGCCTTTAGATGAAAGCTTGTAGATTCAACTAATGACACTAGTGCAAAATGTTGACGGCTAAAGTTTAAATGTACTTTTGAAGACAAGAGTTCTTATTTAGTAAAGACCGCTTTTCAGCCCATTTTCAGGCTTTGCAAAAATGACTTTGGTTCTGAGGTCGACTGAGCCTCAAATGGGTACCATTTAAAGTCATGGGAAGTAAAGGTGGCCAGCTTGATGTTGGCCACATGACCCTTTGAGTGCCGATTGGTCTAGCCCTGTGAGCTCAATTCGCCTGGAATGGAAATGAGTCCTTTTTTTGTTTGTTTGAAAACCTTTGCAGCCCATTAGCCTATATGATACCTGACTTATATGAGCTATACAGTACAAGTTCTTCATTAAATAATGCCATGGATCCCCTCTTTTTTTGAAGATCTGCCACGAATTCCATACTGATTGGGGTGACCAATTAGAAATGTTTCCTTCGAAGCTGAGAGGCCAGGAGCCAGCGGTCTGCAAACATATGAGACAAGATCTGTACAATGGATGTGCAGGCAATACTCAACTTCTGGAACAAGACCAAAATCCAAAAGAGGATGGATAACTAGAACTTTCCGCTGGAGTTTACAGACACTGAACACAAAGAAGAAGACACGCAGAGATATTTATGAACGAAGTTTTATAATGCAAGCAATTGTTCGGCATCATGGGTGTAAAATTACAAGTGTTACTTTTGATGTGTTTATATTTTTTTCAAATCCACTGCTTTACCAATGATATAAAGTGTCTTTCTGGTATATGCAATACAGTTCTGCTTTATAAGAAAATGAAAGCGTTTTTAATATGTTTGTTTTTGTTGTTGTGAAGATGATAATGATTGTTGTATTTGTGGTTCTGGTGGTGGTGGTGATCATGGCACTTACTGTGGTAGTCGTGGCATGGATGATTGTGGTTGTAGCACTTGTGTTTATGTTGGTAGTGATCATGGCACTTAGTGTGATGATGGTTGTGGTAATGGTACTTGGTGTGGTGGTGGTTCTCTGGTCACTGTACTTGGTGTGGTGGTGGTTCTGGTCACGGTACTTGGTGTGGTGGTGGTTCTGGCCACAGTACTTTGTGTGATAGTGGTCACGGTACTTGGTGTAGTGGTGGTTCTGGCCACAGTACTTTGTGTGATAGTGGTCACGGTACTTGGTGTGGCAGTGTTCACCGTACTTTGTGTGATGGTGGTTGTGGTTACAGTACTTTATGTGATGGTGGTTGGGGTCATGGTACTTAGTGTGATGGTGGCTGTAGTCACAGTACTTGATGTGGTGGTGGTGGTCAAGGTGCTTGGTGTGATAGTGGTTGTAGTGAAGGTACTTGAAATGGCAGTAGTTGTGGTCACAGTACTTGTTCTGATGATGGTTGTCATCACAATACTTAGTGTGATGGTAGATGTGGTCATTATACTTGGTGTGATGGTGGTTTTGGTGATGATACTTGGTGTGATGGTGGTTTTGGTTATGATACTTAGTGTGATGGTGGTTTTGGTCATGATACTTGGTGTGATGGTGGTTTTGGTGATGATACTTAGTGTGATGTTGGTTTTGGTTATGATACTTGGTGTGATGGTGGTTTTGGTCATGATACTTGGTGTGATGGTGGATTTGGTGATGATACTTGGTGTGATGGTGGTTTTGGTCATGATACTTGGTGTGATGGTGGTTTTGGTGATGATACTTGGTGTGATGGTGGTTTTGGTCATGATACTTGGTGTGATGGTGTCACGATACTTGGTGTGATGGTGGTTGTCCCAATACTTGGTGTGATGGTGGTTTTGGTCATGATACTTGGTGTGATGGTGGTTGTCACGATACTTGGTGTGATGGTGGTTTTGGTCATGATACTTGGTGTGATGGTGGTTTTAGTCATGATTGTGATGGTGGTTTTGGTCATGAAACTTGGTGTGATGGTGGTTGTCACGATACTTGGTGTGATGGTGGTTTTGGTCATGATACTTGGTGTGATGGTGGTTTTAGTCATGATTGTGATGGTGGTTTTGGTTATGAAACTTGGTGTGATGGTGGTTTTGGTCGTAATACTTGATGTGATGGTGGTTTTGGTCATGATACTTAGTGTGATGGTGGTTTTGGTCATGATACTCGGTGTGATAGTGGTTTTGGTCATGATACTTGGTGTGATGGTGGTTTTGTTCATGATGCTTTGTGTGATGGTGGTTTTGGTCATAATACTTGGTTTGATGGTGGATTTGGTCATGATACTTGGTGTGATGGTGGTTTTGGTCATGATACTTAGTGTGATGGTGTCACGATACTTGGTGTGATGGTGGTTTTCATGATACTTGGTGTGATGGTGGTTTTGGTCATGATACTTGGTGTGATGGTGGTTGTCACAATACTTGGTGTGATGGTGGTTTTGGTCATGATACTTGGTGTGATGGTGGTTGTCATAATACTTGGTGTGATGGTGGTTTTGGTCATGATACTTGGTGTGATGGTGGTTGTCACGATACTTGACACTTGAGATCATGGCACTTAATTGTGGTAGGTATCAGCAGCTAATTGTTCACTGTAGGAGTCTCTTCATCGTCATCATCAGGTGCCTTGCCGACTGGCGTGGGCGATCATGCCTCTCCACAATCTGCGATCTCCTGCAGCATGTATTATTTCATGTGCTGACACACCTCCATGCCATGCAACAAGACTGTCAAAAATTTTCTCTCGTTGTCTTCCTCTATCGCTCCTTCCACACATCTTTTTAGTGGTCACAACACGTTTCATTTTTCGTCTTCTCATAACATGACCGAAAAATGATGACTGTCTCCTTCTTATGTCTGTGATAAGTTTTCTTCAGCTCCCGCTTTTGAAAACCTCTTGGTTGCTCTTTTTGGCTGTCCAGTATATTTTAAGCATTCTTCTTTAAAAATACATCTCTGAGGCCTCAAGAAATTGTTTGGCCTGCCTAACGGTCCAGGACTCACAGCCATATGTTAAAAGTGGATGTATTTAGCAAGCAAGAATTCTTTTTCTAACCTTAAATGACAAAGATATATGGCAAAAGATGTTTATAAAATTATAAAGTGCAGTTTTTGCCTGTCCTATACTGTTTCTTATCTCAGTAATGCATCTTCCATCTGATGTAATACATGTGCCCAGAAACCTAAATTTCTGTACTTGTCCCAGAGTGAAGGAATAATTATTCTATTTGATACCACCATTACTTCTGTCTTCCCATTATTCAAACTGAGGCCCATTCTTCCACTTGCTACCACCACAATGTCTATCATTTTCTGTAGTTCTTTCTGACATGCTGGTATTAAGACTGTGTTACCAGCATAACGTAAATTGTTTATATGGTGCCCACCAACCACAATTCCAGGCATTTCACTTGAAGATCTCATTATATATTCACTGTATAGTGAAAATAAATCAGGTGACGGTACACATCCTTGTCCTACGCACCCTCTTTATGCTTTGAAATGTACCTAAACAATTGGTAATTCTTATAGCCGCTGTTTGCTGCCAATACATATTCTTTATTATTCGTAGATCTTTTTATCAGTGTTGAATTTGTCTACTCTTCCATCAGTGTTGAATTTGTCTAACAATTTGATTACTTGTTCATGTTTCACAGTCAAATTCTTTTGTATAACATATGAAGCGTAAGTACAAACAAGTCTTTACTCACTTCACTTTAAGGAGTCTTTTAAAGACTTGATTTCACGACCATAGAGCTGCTGGTGATTGCAGTTATAGTTATTCTTTAAGACACCTTTGGCACCTCTACTTCTGCTACTCCATTTCTTCGTTTGCCTTAAAAAGGGCAGTTCTCATTTGTGTAGAGTGTCGCAAAATAATTAGTAACTACACTTGAACAGGGATGCTGTGATTTGCTCCTGCTAGACTCTCATCCAAATAGTAACTTCTTGAATGAGTATTTGCTAATTTTTCACTTTAAAGAACAACAAAGCACCAGGCAAAGACGAACTGCCAGCAGAACTTCTCAAAGTAGATCCCAAAACAACTGCTCGCATTCTAGAACCATTGTTCAAGGATATTTGTGGGGAAAAAAGAAGTGTTGCTTGATGACTGGACTGACGGAACAATAGTCAAAATCCCCCAAAAAGGAGACTTAACA